AAAATATATTATATTAATATGTAATATAAAATTTAATAATATTATATAATATATAATATATAAATTATTATTATTAATAATAATAATAATAAATATTTATATTATATATAATAATATTTAATATTTAATAACAATAATTAAATATTCATAAAAATATTATTGTTTTAATACACTTTTCCTTTTGTTTTCCATTAGTAATTTCATTGAATAGAAATTTCTTATATTTAAATTCTGTAAATTTCTGCACATTAAATTGTTTTTCGTTTAATTTAATAAAACATTTGTGTAAACACACTAGATAATTAAATTTGAAATAATTTTAAATCATGAAGGTAACAGAAGATATAATAAATCATCTGTTGGACAAAGTTGTTGTTGGTGTAATAATAACAGAAGAAAATGGCGAATTCGCTGCACAACGTCGATTGATGATCCAAAAACTTGATGAACCTGGCGTGGAAATTGATCCCTCGACATTATTACCACAAATTACTGAACAAATTTCTGATTCGTTAATTGTTAGTAGTGATGAACAATTAGATCGTAGTACAATGCCTGAAGACTATGAAGAGTTTGATGAACCAATTGAAAGAGTCACAATTTATTGGCTTCCCTATGATATTTGTTTGGTAAATTATATTTGAATAATAATTATAATTAATTCATAAATTCATTTCTATTTATTTGATCAATATATATATGAATATTATAATCAAGTAATTATTATAAATAATATTTATAATAAAAGTAAGGTGTTAGGTCAGGATTATACAGGGTGTTTCATGAAACTATTTCAAAAAAAATATAACAGGGGTATACAAAAATAATGACAAAAAGGTTTATGCAAAACAAATCATCTATTTGATTAATTGTAATATATTGTACTATTTGTCATTAAATATTAATATTTTATTTATTATTTTTATTAGCTATTTATTTGTTTGAAAATTCTTGTCAAAAATGTTTAAGAAATATCGACCACAAATGAGAATTATATTATATATTATTATATAATATTAATTATTATTTTATATATGTAGTATATTATATAAATTTAATTAAATAAATTATAATATATATATATATATATATATATATATATATATATTAATTTTAGTCAAATTTTTACTGTACACATTGAATTATTTTAATTATTAATATTATAAAAAAAAAAATATATATATATATATATATATATTGTGAATAATAATAGATAAAATATTAAATAATGATAGATATTTAATTTTATTATTTTAAATAATAATAATAATTATTATTATTTTTTTTTTTTCTTAAAATAATAAAAATAAATGAAAATTTTTCAGGCAGTTTTATTGGCTACATTACCGTGGCACGCATCACAATCGGATTTATTTCAAACAACGAAAACACTTCGTGAATTATTACGTGATACTTACGACGAACTTTACGATGATGAATTATCCGAAGATAAGAATGAAGTTTTATCTCATCGTTTCTTGAATCATAATTTTATTACAGAATTGTTAGAAAGTACCAGTAAGTTTACTGTTAAACGTCTCGATAATATTCTATCTGAAATAATAATGAAGGATAAGGAAAGGTATCATTGATTTTACTTCTTCTGTAATACTTATTATAATTATTATTATATTAATATTATTATCATTATTATTGTTATCATTATTATTATTATTATTATTATTATTTTCGTATAGATTTTATTTTTCTCTTATTTGCTTGTTTTTTTTTTTTTTTTTTTTTACCTATATTGTAAATAAATTCGAAGAACATTAAATACGATATTCGATGTATAATATCCTTATGTACATTGTGTATATATATATATTTTTTTTTGTTTAAACAGAATAATACATTTTTCTATTACATCACGCGTGAGATAAAAATTGTGATGAATAAAAACAACGTACACGAGTAAATGATATTTGCATTGTATTATTTTAATTTTATTATTAAAATTATTATTATTATTATTATTTAACGCTTAAAGTGTACACTTGGTAAAAGTTAGTTAAAGTGCACTGTGGGTGTTTGACACCCCAACGTGTTTGAACGCGTCACCTGAAGTTGCTAATTAATATTTAGACCTGGCAATTTTTTTTTTCAAAGTAATTAACACTAAATGGTGACAAATAACCCATTTTTTTTTTTTTTTTTGAATTCAGTACCACCGTTTTCGAGAGATCACAAATTTGTTGGTGGGGTGTTAAACAAACTCTGTGCACTTTTTTTATGGGTTAATTTAATATTAGTATAATATTTGTATAGAATTGTATCATTTGTTTATCTTGTTTTTTTGTTTTGTTGTTCTAATGTTGTTTATCATATTACAAAAATAAAATTAAAAATCAAGTTTATTTATAAAACTTCGTCATCATTCTTATTGTACACAATAAGAATAAATTTGAAATGAACATTTCAAAGATTATCTCCTCGTGTTCATTTTCTTGCGTTAAGTATTTGTCTTTAATAAATTGATATTTTTAATAATAATAATAATAATAACAATAATAATAATAATAATAAATTAGCGATGTGAACGACAGTACGTATTTTGTTCTTTTATATTTTATTTTATTTTATTTTAATTTTTTTTTCCCCGTTTTTTTTTCTTTCTATCTCGCTTGTCTATTTGTTTATTTGTTTGTTTTTTCATACTGTAAATAACGTATGTTACAAACGTGTTTATGTTTAATTATACGTCTTGTCTTTTTAATTCTTTTTCATATGTCATCAAGGAATTTTTTACTTACGTTTATATAAATAGTTAGCGCAATTTAACTTACATCATACTTAAATTTATAAATCGTTTTTTTCTTTTTTTGTTTTTTCTTTCTTCTTCTTTTTTCTTTGCTGATTGATATTACAAAAGTTTTCTCACGTTGTTTGTTTGTTTTTTTTTTTTTTATTTCTTTTTTTGTTTTTTTTTTTCCAATACGCGAGAGCTGATATGTAACGTTTTTGCTTTTTTTTTGCTTTTTTTTTTTTTCTGTTTTGCCGATTTCATCAAATGTTTATTTATATTTTAATATTAAAATAAATCCAATGTGTGAAATATTTTGTAAACAACGAAATTATTTTATTTGATACATTTTATCTTACACACACACAAAATGTGTTATTTATATATTTCTGAATATATATTATATATATATATATTATTATATATATAATAATTTTTATATAAATAATTTAATTTTACAATAATTTTATATACAAAAATAAAATACAAGAAATTTAGAAAGAAAAAATATTATTAATATTATATTTATTATTATATTAAATTTATATATTTTTTTTTATTATAATTATTATATTTATATAATATATAAATATAATAAATTTATATACTATATAAATATAATTATAATAATAAAAATACGTTTTGCAGAAAAATTGTATAAAAATTTTTCTTCCTTTTATTGAAAAAAAAAAAAAAAAAAACAAAACAAAACAAACCCTTCCCAAAAAATAAGAAAAAAAACAAAACAAAACAAAACAAAAAAAAATTTACATATTTCAGCTCTCACCGACTAAATATCATTTTATGTTATGTGTGTTTGTATTATTTGTGTCTGTGTGTTGTTAGTAATAATATTTTTAATACGCATTATTATTTTTTCTTTGACTACGTCGTGTGTCGAGGATTTTACACACGACAAGTTTAAATGTAGACGATACACATGTCGAATAATAATAATAATAATAATAATAATAATAATAATAATAATAATAATAATAAAAATGCGATGCACTTTAATAATTAGTTGCACGCGAATGACTTAAAGGGTATTATCATTCATTTAATTTAATTTAATGTCTTTTACACATACGTACATACGCGCCCGCGCATTTCTTATACATTTTAATTTTATTTTTATTCTTTTTTTTTTTTATTTCTCCTCTTCTTCTTCTTCTTCTTCTTTTTTTAATAATAATTACAAGTATGTTTTACGTTTTTTTTCTATATTATAATGTAAGTTATAATATATATGTATATATGTATATGTATAATTCACGCAATGTGTGTAATTCTTCCTTCTTCTCATTTATGGTTGCGTATGTGTGTGAATAATAAAAAAAAAAAGACAAAAAAAAAAAAAATAAAAATTCGGAAACTTCGATAATTCAAAAAGGAGAAGCTTTCAATCTTACTTTTTATTTTTATTGTTTTTTTTTTTTTTATTTTTATTCGTCTCCTTTATTTTTTCCTTTTCACACTTTTTCTGGGGTAGTTTTTTTTTCTTCTTTTTTTTTTTCAATTCAATTACTAATATCCCTATCAATGATATTTTCGTGTAAACGAGTGACACGATATTATTTATATATAATATATATATATATATATGTATTTTATATATAAAAAAAGGGAACGTCCACGATTATCTCGGTGGACACAATATTTTATTATATTATAATAATAATAATATTAATAATAATAAAAATAATAATAATAATAATACACACTCGTCAATATATGTTTTCCCCAAAGTTATTTTCTTTTTCTTTTTTTCTTCTTCTTTCTTTCTTTATATATATATAAAAAAATAGAAGTGTATAATATATATATATGTATATATCATATGTGATATATTGTAATAATATAACGATTAATTATTATCGACTAATTGTAAGTAAATTCATATTTTTATTTTCTTTTTTATTTTTATTTTTTATTTTCAAGCGTATTCTAATTATTTAATTTTAAACGTATATATATAGCTTAATTATTAATTAAGAGACAGATGATGACAGATCATACCCTTTTCCTTGCTTGCAAACAAAAAAAACATTTATATTTCCTTACTTTTATGTTTTTCTATTACATGCTTTTCATACAATCATCATTATTTTTCTTTCTATATATATATATATTATATAAATTATTGTTTATTATTTTTTGAAGAGGAAGATTTGCGGAAAAGGGTCCAGAGATAACGTGGACGTCATTTTGTATTAATTAATTCTACTAAAAAACCAACCAAAAAAAAATTCATAATCAAACATCACCACCCTAAGGATTATCATAATTCTCCTTCATTCATTTGTCAATCAATAAAATTTCATACACACATATACACACACAAACATACTATCAATCTCTCTCTCTCTCTCTCACTCACTCACTCACTTTCTATTTCTCTTTCTACTTTTTTTTATTTCTTGATATATGTGTTTTCATTTCTAGTCCTCCTAACATTTTCCTTTGGCACGTCAAAACTCATTTTTTAACACGTTGAGCGCCACGCGAATTTTTACGGAGATCTTCGTCAGGCCACGCATGGTAAAAGAAAGTTGAACGTCAGTCGCAGATGCCTGACGTGGCCTGAACGGGAAGTTGAACGTCAGTCACAAGTGCCTGACACGGCCTGAACGTGAAGTTCAATGTCAGTCACCGATGACTGACGTGTCACTCAAAGTGTTAAACTAGGTCCTCCTCCTCCTCCTCCTCCTCCTATACCTCACACACACTAACAACTATAATCGTACTCACGTTAATCCTATCGTTGCAATAAAAAAATATCGAGGAATAAAAAATATATCACGCAATTGACGTATTTATACGTCGTATTAACCCAACCCCTACTATTTTCTTCCCATTCCCTTCCCTTACCCCTTCCCCTCCCTTCCCCTCCCTTTCAGTATACTATGTCTATACGATTTTATAATATGAGAAAAAGAAAAGAGAAAAGAAAGTAAAATAAAAACCAACAAGAGTTTTTCATAGGAAATTGTGTTGGTTGAGGGAGGAATTATTTTGTTTTTGTTGTTTTTAAGAAAAATTCTCGCTGCTCCGAGAAATACGTTCGAAAAATAATAATAATAATAATAATGATAATGATATTAATAATAATAATAACAATAACAATAACATCAACAACAGCAGCAACAGCGATAGCAGCAGTAGCGTGGAAGTTAAGTTTTTTTCGTATTACGAAATAACATCACACCGATGGAAAAACAGTATGTAATAGTAGTAGTAGTAGTAGTAGTAGTAGTAGTAGTAGTAGTAATAGTAGTATAATAGTAATAGTAATAGTTTGTAATAATAGTTGCAATAGTAGTAGTAAGTCCCTTCTCGTTCGTATTAATTTTTCGTATTTATTTATTTATGTATTTATTTGTGTCTTCATTCTTTCTTCTGTTGTTGGTTGTTTTATTTATTTTGTTTCGAGACAACTCATTTTTGAAAAAACTCGCTAGCACTCACAAATAATATATATATTTATATATATACACACACACACAAATATGTATACACATAACACACACACATACACATATACACGCGCGTCATAAATATTTCGTTTCCACTTGTGGTCGCGAGTGTTTTTCAGTTTTAAAAATCGAATGTGTTTTTTTGTTTTTTTTTTTTGAACAAAAAAATAAAAATAAAAAAGAAACTATAGTCTCTGTGTGTGTGTGTTGTGTGTGTGTGTGCGCGCGCGCGTGTTTATTTTGTTTTGTTTTATGTCTCACTGGAAACACCTATGGAAAACCTAAGGAACTTCCGTAATAATTTAACCGATCCATGGTAGCCATCAGCTAGGCTGTGGTGGTGTAAGTCGTACTAAAAGCCACGTATACAATTTTGGCTTTTGTTTATTGATCAGCTCGTATTGTAGATTGCTAAGACCATCAGTAGCGAATCTTTTCTTCCCTGATCTGAGGAACTCGTACCTGTAAATAATATTATTAAGAAATTAATTCATTTTCCTTTACTTTTCACCGTCTAAACAAATAAAACGAATCAAAAGAAAGAAATAGAATAGAAAGTCTAATTAGAAGAATGTTATATATTATTATTATTATTATTATAATATATAATAAAGAATTTAATATTATATAATATATAATAAAATATTAAATATATATTTAATGTATGTAATATATAGAATTTATAATATTTATAATAAAAGAATATTTTTTTCTATAGAATTATAGATTAGTATAAAAAAGAAAGATTACTTTTACTTTTATTCTATGATCATCGGGTTTATATAATACTTATTATTATTTTTTTCTTTTTTTTTTATACAATTATATAATTCATCTTTTTAGGATATAAGTACACCCGTTATATGAATTTTCTATTATACGAATTTTCTATTATACGAAGATTCTATTATGTAAATAGTATTTCTATTCTGTTACAACACAGTATTGTAAATGAATATAAATATTATTTACCTCTTTGTAGAATGTTATTATATCATAATAATGTAGTTTCAAAATGACAAATATGCTTTATACTACGTTATTATCTTATATATGTATATATATATTGTTACAATCAAATTAAGTGATTATTTTGTTATAATATATATATAAACAATAATATTATATTATAAAGTTTATTTTATTATACACGAAATTATCTCGTAACAATACTATTATCTTCAAATTTATTGAAATAATCGTACATTTATTAGATTTTTACATTTCCTAGTTGTTTTACTATATTTAAACATTTATAAAATTTCATTTATTATAAAAAATTATATTAATGTGAAAAAACTATTACAATTATATTTGTCGTAAAATACAACATTTAAAGGAATAAAATCAAAGTAATGCAATTGAACTTAACATTTTTATAATTTGGAAATATAAAATATTAATCATTTAATTTAAATACTTTTAGTATAATATTTTATAATATTATATATTATATATATAT